ATGAGTACAATCGAAATATCACAACCAACCTTAGACAACTTCACGTAGATTTTCTTACTGTCGTGAAACTTTGAAGAACTTGTTGTTCGTTATTGCACTTTGATATGGCTGCTTTAATTCCATTTTCACATTGTTTTTCATCCTACCGCGATGTATATGCAATACTTAATAGTCAATTTGATTTATATCCGTTAACCACTTTGCTAAAAGATCAGTCGGAAAAAATTAGGTAAAACCACTTATTATTGATCCAATAGTTCGAACATGTCTAGTATTAATATTGCTATCTATTTGGATTGTTTGGTCCTCCTTAATAATGGAATTTAAAGTGTTCATTTTCTGTTTATGGCGCCATTGTGAAAGATTATAAGATATACCAAATAAGTTATGCATCTGTGTAGTTCTAATATATCATATATATATTATGAACGAACTATCCTGTAATCTTTTTCACTATACTTAAGAAATTATCCTCTTTCATATTATTTACTTGTAATCCTGTATATCCTGGTGATCAATGCAAATCAGATTTAATTAAAGTGTTCTGATACTCTAGTTAATTATTTAGCTGAAAAAATTCAGCATTCAAATAGTTGACTGGTTTCTAACATCATTATGTTTATTATTATCCATGCGTAGAAGTAATCAGTTATTTACTTTGTTACACGTGACCAGTGACTTGATGATTAAAGAAACTGAGCTTTCAAATAAAGTCACAAGTTCGAATCCCACCAAGTGGTTTCGTCACCCTCCACAATTTTATCTAATATAAGTATTTTATTCATTTAAGTTCACTTTGTTTTCAATAACTCTTGGTTTATCAAGATCAAAGTTTGTTATAAAATGACCAAAGAAATTAATTCAACTTCACTGTAAACTAAGTATTAAATTAGTATTGAAAATAGTTCGATTCACATTATGAAGTGACGTCATTTAAACATCTATTTCAAATCCACAGCTGTAGCCTGTAGATTTATTTTGTTTATGTATTTAAACACAAATATTGGTACAAGGAGGCACTAAATAGATATGCGCCACATAAATCATTCGGTCTGTGTGACGGCTAGGATACTGCCCGGTTGCCCAAACCGAAACAGGTGGTTTCCTTAGGAGGCCACACCCGAGCATTTAACCTAAAGGTCTAATCCACAGGGCAGTGGAGCAACGTAAGAGAATGCAGTCCCATAGTAACTAGTGACCAACAACAGGTTCATATGCCATTTGTTCCCTCAGGATACTGGAGCCCATGTGCACCATTGGTTTTGAATCAGGGTTTTCTAAATCCCCTAGGTGGATCCTCCATATCGACCAACCCGGTTAAAGTGCCGGACATTCGCTTTTCGTCCTCTCAATTTCGTAAACGACACTCCCACCGTGAGAAGGTATTGAGTAGGACTTCCCTGGTAGTGATGGTGATGTGAGCATTTCGAGAGGGAGAGCTGACTCTCCCCACTCTTGGCCGTACCAGGATATTTAGGGGCGTAACCTGTAGAATCACTTGTCTTTTGATTGTCAAGTGCCTTTACTGGAGTCGTATAATGTTTAGAATATATCTTAAATTTATTGAACGAAAGTATTTAGTAAATTGTGTTTATGTGTTTCCTTGAAGTGTTATCTTTATATACATGCGAACTATCATGTAATATTTTGTAATTGAATCCATTACTATTACTGTTATTGCTATTGTGTTTACTTATTGCTCAGAGTAATTGATGGGTGGGATGTTTTGGATGAATTAGAGCGTTCCCCTGTTGAAGAAAAAACTTATAAACCTTTAACAGATATTCATATACAAAATATAACAATCCATGCTAACCCATTTGCAGAATAATAGTGTATTGATGTTCATCTTGCAATTTTGTAAATATACTCTGATCATTTGTCAATATATATGTATGTTTCTACTATCACTTCTTTTTGTTATCACTAAATAAATGTGTATGTTGTTTCACACGGTAATTTTACAAGCAGTCTTCATTATCTGTTTAATTTCAACCTTTCAAGAACTAATGCTCTTCCCACAGATTTCGGTTTATTTATTTTATATGTAAATAGTACATCATCACCAGGTTTAAGATCCTAAAAATGTAGACATTACCTTTGGAATTTCGTTGAGACTGATCTCTCTTCAGTGCATGTCAGAGACTAACTTCAGTTGAACAACTATTTAAAACCAACTTACACAGAAAATCTGTTTCATCTTAGTATGAAATGCCGAGAAACCTAAAAGTCCTATGTCAGTCAGTCAGTCAGTAACAACGTAGAACTTCGTACGTACGTACATCAGTTCGAGTTGCCACACCACATTAGCACAAAAATGCAGTTGTCGATTCAAATTCCGTAGTGGTAGAGGTAATAAGAGTATAAGCAGTAATCGGAAAGATTAGGGTTTGGAGATGTTATTTAAAGAGTATAATCCAGTGAAATAAATTTGGAAAGAGGAAAAAAGGGACATGAAGAATTCAGAAGATTAGAATTTGGGAGAACACAAAAAGTGGACGCCCCTGCACCATTGCAAACGATTTTGAGCTATGTCATTCAGGGTCTCTAACCATCGGTTGCTATCATTTCGCGGTCCCCAACCAGGTAGTCTACACCTACCAACATGACTCAGTCCACTTGTCAGTGACTTCATGGACTTGTGCTATGTTTTGGTTTGGCCGCCCCTAGCTTTCTTCCAACCTACTCCTATACCACTGAACATAGCACGTCGAGGTAGTCGGTCGTTGGGCATACGTAACACGTATCCCAGCCACCTCAACTAATGAAGTTTCACTACGTCATCAATTGATTTGCCATCCTTACCTAGTACCCGTTTCCTAACAGCTGTGTTACTTACTCGATGGTCGCAGGATATACGAGCAATGTTTCGAAGACACCTATGATCAAATACTAGTAACCTACGAATGTCCTCTACTCTTACCGGCCATGTTTCGCTGCCATAAAGTAGGACGGGACGAACTGCTGCGCAGTAAAGTCCTATGTTCAGTTCACAGCGTCCGTTGCTGAGACGAAACATACATACTAGAATAAGACAACTTTCTAGCGATTTTCATTTCGCGACGTTGTCTAGACGTTAAATTCATAATGTTAACTATGGAATGTGTACATTCTAAGTGAAAATCTTACAATATACAACATTCATCTATTGAATAAATGCAGAATTAGTCAGCATTTATATGAAACTTTACTCACTTAGTATAAAATCATCGAAATTGTTGACTATTTCGCACATGCTATGGTAATTTTATCTATCCTAGTGAAGTGACTAACAAAACTCTGAGTTCCACTTACTATCTCATCACTCCTGGTTCTTTAAAATTGTCTTTTTAAAAATATTTAATTAGTATACAAAACACTACCATCTTAATATATATTTAAAAAATATAGTCTGAAAGGGTAGATGATGAGGTTCTTTCAAAGAACTGCTGTCATTTGTAACTATTAGAAGTGTATGGGGCGTTACGAAAATTAAATTGTAAACTCATGATTTTCAGGAGACATTTTAAGTTAGCAGCACAAATTTACATGGTTTTTTCTGTATGAATAGTAGCATTGAAAATGATTAAAACGTTGGAAATTAATGACACTAAACCATGGTGCAGTTGCCATTTTCATCTGAATAAATGCACCCAAGGTTGGATAACGTCAGAAGACAGTTTATTTTGTGTAGTTGTATACATTTATGTGATAAGTCTTGCTAATTGAACGCTATATTCGGTTCCCAAGCTATTCTCGTAACCCCCAAGCTAGAACTACACAGCGACCTGAACACGAGAAGAAAGGCGCAAAATATGCGAGAAGCACTTTACTCCAAAGGTTCGTTTTAGTACAGAAAATATAGGGTTTTTATAGTATTTTAGATGTCCTTGGGTTTCCCGAAAATTCTGGAATGCCAATAAACATAGTAACAGTATAGTAGTCAGCCAATCAGAAACTACATGTGAATTTTCATTTTCTTGATGTCTCTGGCTAAACTTCTAGTGAACGTTGTTGGATAAAATGCTTCTTAGTGTTTCCTGGCTTCTGGGAGAAGTTTTCTGGATCATCCCAACATTATGGTTCTACATTTTATGATCAGTATAGAGTAAAAATTTACATTTCAGATGATGAAATCAGTAACAAACGCTCAGCATTAAGCACAGACAAGGAAGGAATAGTGGATAGTTTCACATACCGGGACAGACGTTAGTTGGCCAATAGGACGTGTTTCGAGAAGATTATCCACCGTAACAGTAGCTACTCATAAATAATATATTTATATATCACTGCACAATTGAATTCATGAGCCCCAACCTAGTTTGTAAATCGAAATTACCAAATAGGTGACAGCCGAAGAATTCGCAAGACAAGTAGTATATCACTCATTGCTGGCTTTCCAACTGAGAATCGATTGATTTTGTTCTATTATCCCATAATTTGAAAATTACTTTTCGTTCCGCTTGTATTTTCTGATTTTATAGTTCCTACATTTTATTTTAACCACTTTCATGGCCCCACTGGGCAGCGTCATCACACTCCCTACATTAAATAGAGTCGAAAGTTTTCACGAAATTCTTATGTCAATCCATTCTGATGATTCGGTTACTCATTGGTGTTTTACATTTGCATACAGATCTCCATTGAATTTTCTATCAGAATAAGCTCTCGTCATGTAACTGATCGACCTGATCATTGTTTACCACTAGATTGGATCTATTTAAATGTTTTCAGGAAACATAGATAAACATGAATCCAAATGTGATAGGATCTCCGTAGCACTCTTGCATGTATGCATTTCTTCCAGACTAGTACAGTTTGTAAATAAACATATCTGACCTCCTTACGAAGTGAATTAACTATATCCTTAGTGTTTTATTGTGTGCATGGTTAATGAATGTTGTAATTCCTATGCTTCATACTGTTGTAACCGATCTCCGACACATTAATGGCGCTTTTCTGCCTACATATTTAGTTTTTACTAATTAATTGATACTTAGTTCTTTGTCTTTATTCTTTCAGATACTATCATACTTCTAGTGATCAAACTCAAATCAGTGTTGATTATAGGATGATGTCTGTTGACTCTAAACCGTACCCATTCCCCAATGGTCTACATTTATTTGGACAATTGGTGATCGGACCTCCTGGTAGTGGGAAAACCACATACTGTGCTGCAATGCATGATTTTCTTGTAAAATTAGGTCAGTGTTATATCCACGATTCTTTTAGGTTGATGCAATCATTTTGGTATTTATTAATTTACATCAGTAATTGAGTGAATCAAGGTCCTGGGGCGGATGAGGTTCTGAAAGTGCACTGATGAGGGGTAACCGCATACTAGGAGGAAACTTTCACCCACTGCTTCTTTGGTTTTCAATGGATTTCCATCTGAAGTTAGTTTGTGGTGTAATCTACTAACCTCCTCCAGTGCTTCCAACAATTTCTCACTATTTAACATACCGTTTGTTTATATGCTCTTCAAACTCAATATCCTTTTAAGTGCTGTATTACCAGAATTTCGAATTAATAAATCGCTAGCTTGAATTCTGTCTTACTCCCTGATTTGTCAGCAATATGTGTACGGAACTATCTGCCACCATCCCCAAATTACAGCTCAGTGACACATGGAGAATGGAATATCAGCGGTCTTGAGTGTCCTGTTAGGTATAAAGGTGGTTATCACCTACCAGTTGCCCTTACTATGGAAGGGTTCATTTGGAGATATCTGAAAAGAAAATTGGATTAGAGTTGGTCTTAATGACTTGAGAGCGTGACTGCAATGCCCAAGAGACAACTGCTTGGGGCTGGTCACACTCAACATTTTTGTGGGTAATTTCTTAACTGCCGATCTGTTCACTATCTCCTGGACAGAATTGTCAATTTATATTCATCCGAGTTATGTATGTTTGTGTTTATTCACCTGGTACACTTTTCAAAATGTATATTTTAAACGCCAAATGCAGACAGCTCCCACACTTAACACCATGGCTTGTATTACCATAATATATTTCGCATAATTTATTATCTTACTGTACTTGAAATTAAGTAGTATGTTTTTTTCTTGTGTAACTAAGAGTTGTAAAAGCGTAAGTCGATGTACTATGATAAATCAACCCATAGTTGTCAGCTTATTTTCTCTTTTTAAGTAATTTAGATTTATATGGAAGAATTTACTAAGCGATCCGAAACTCCATAACATATTTTTAAAAGGGATTTATAAATACTAGGTCTTCGTTACATATTGATGTCAACCAACTAACCACCTATCGCATTGTTTTATTTTTTTAGGTTATTTACCAGATATAGATTAACGTACTTGACTTCAAGCCGCACTCTAAATGTGAGGACTATTGGTACTTCCCTGTTGCCCAAACTAGAGTAGGTGGAATAGAGTTCGAACTTGTGGCGTAGTAATTGAAGGTCGAGCGCCTTGACCACTGAACCATTCCTCTATATTCTATCCGGGAATATTTAGTCTTCACTACAAATACTTAACTATTTATCCATTTCATCAGTACATTCAGCTCAAATCTTCCTACCGATGTCATGAAAACTGCTGTAAAACATATCGGCTGAGCTTCACTTGTTTATCATTTTAGACTGAAAATTTTTACAAAACTTTCTTGGATTACAAAGTCGAATATCTACTATACATGCAATTCTTGCATAGTTGTTATTATATATCACTGACTAGGATACTTTGTTTCTAATCATAGATTTTCCTCTGAAATGAACAAAACTCAGCTACTACATACTACACTTTATCCACAATCATTATTTAGTAGCTAATAATCCTGATATCTGACCTCTGAAATCTTAGTATATATAGTCTTCTCACTGATTGACCAGTTATTGTTAATTCCAGTAATATTTGTATGTTAATTTCGTAGATTATTCATAAGAAGTATTTCTATTGATAAAATCTGATAATGTACATATTAAATGTTACCTCATCTTCATCCTAGATACTTTGATTCTCATTATTTTTTTAATGGACTATAAACCTTGGAACTCTAAAACTTCCTTTCAATAAAAATTATCAATCTGGCTAGAGTAATATTTAAATGAAAATCTGTAAATCTTTATACTAAGCTCGAAAATATGTTCGTCCAATTAATCAATTACTTGGCTTTAAAACAGTAAAACAATAGAGGAAATCGATTAAATGAATAAATAAGTAACTAAGGGTTGTATTTTTCTATAAAAAAAAACAATGTGAAAACTATATGAATGACATGGCTCAAAATCGTTTGCAATGGCGCAAGTGTATCCACTCTTTGTGTTCTCCCAAATTCTAATCTTCTGAATTCTTCATGTCCCTTATTTCCTTTCCAAATTTATTTCACTGTATTATACTCCGTGACTAACATCTTCAAGCCCTAATGTTTCCGATTACTGCTTATACTCTTACTACCTCTACAACTACGGAATTTGAGTGGACAACTGCATCTCTGTACTAATGTGGTGTGGCAACTCGAACTGATGTACGTACGTACGAAGTTCTACATTGTTACTAACTGACTGATATGAAAAATCAAAGTCAAATTAAAGACAACTAATAGTAATAGGTTTAAAATGACTGAGTTATCACCAATCATATTAAGGTATAAAAGTGATATAAATCATTGTCAACAGTTGTACTTTAAACCATCAATCACTTATCAATATTCTAAATTGATTTTTTTTGTTAATTACTGAACCGTACTATCACTGAAGTTAGAAATTCACATGAATTATTTCCTATAGAATGAATTAATTTGAATTTAGATTAGGTTAAATTACAGTGTACTAAATCATCATCACTCTCTTAATTTTTATTAAGAAATTTTTCATTTTTATCTTAGTTGACATAATATGCGACTATAATAATTGGTAATTTTATTTCTAAATACATTGAATTTTTTTATTCCAAAAATTACATATGTATATATATATATATATATAGGTCGAAAAGTTGCTGTCATCAATTTGGATCCAGCCAACGATAGCTTACCTTATCCATGTGCCATTAATATGGCTGATTTAATTTGTCTCGATGAGGTTATGGATTATCTTGGCTTAGGTCCAAATGGTGGACTAATCTATTGTATGGAATATTTATACACAAATCGATCGTGGCTAGCGAATCAACTAGCTTTATTAAAACAGAAAGATCCGAAAATTTATTTAATATTTGATTTGCCGGGTCAGGTAAGTCAATTCTGTGATGTTTGGTTTAAATATGGATCACACAATTAAGCTTTTTACCTGTAAACTTTTATGTGTATTAATCAATCACTGATTACCATTCGATGTTGTTCTGTCTCAGTTACCCTTTAATAGAGGCACGCTCAAAAGGTTGATTTAATAATAAAATAAAATGTCACTACTATATTAACTTACTAGATATAATCAATCAAGCTCGAGCATCTCTAGGGTGATTTATTAACGAAATGTAGCTGTATATGTTACCTATATTTGAAAATTTAATGTGCCTATATGTACAAATTTAAACTGTGCTATTCTGCGTGTGTGATCGATCTGTTTCCATAATTTTCGATAACCACTTTAATACATACTGCCACCTCCTTTTATTTCCTTTTTATATACTGTTACTGAATCCTTAGGAAAACCTTCCATTACCGAACTGTGGACATTTCACAGTACAATCTTAAAAATTGGACCTCTATTGTCTCCGCGTCTAGTTGGTCACCAGATTCAAATGTTTTCTAAATAACTTGTGAATATTTTGATTTCTTTTTAATTGTTGACGCAAAATAGTGACTACTCGATCGTTAAATTCAATTACGATAATCTGCGTCCGGTAAAAAGTTTAGTGCTGCTTATTGATTTATTGTTTACTGTAGTCTCGTCTACAAAAATTAACTCATATTGAATAACCAACCTTATTGTACACTACATTTGGATATACTTATTAAATACTGATACTGTTAAATGTTCATAATCAGTTATGATAGTTGGTGAATTTAAAGTCGAACACAGTTCATTTGATTTGCTGAAGGTGTGCACATACGAATTCGTACCTTTGTCATAGCCTAGAATGTAAACAAATGAAATAATTGTATTAAATCTTATAGCATGAATTGTGTAGATTTGATTAAACCAAGATGGCAATGTCTTAAATATTCCATCGACATACCAATAAGACAAAATAGAAATTCATTCTTTACCTTTTCTAGTGTCACATAGAAGAAAATTCTTTTCTCTCGCAGTAGTCTTATATTCAGACGTTAGGTTCAATGCATTCACTGAACATAGATTTAGTAAGGTTGCATAATGGTCATATATACTCTGTTTCACCCTAGATCATAGACGAAGTTGAGCTGACACTATATGAGATAAATCGGCAGATACAATAGCTAGTATTTGATTTATCGTTTCTGTTGATGAAACTGTTTAAACTTTTATTTTGCTAATTGTTTTGTATCTATCTCATGTATTGTCTAGAACAAAAAAAATGTCCATTTGGCTAATAACTTTATAATAACTACATACTTTGTATGACAGCATGATCTACACTTCACTGTACGATATTTCTCACATCTCCAAATGTTCTCGTCGTTAATTACTCTCTGTTTTTGTGAAGGTTTAGCCATTCACAATCGAAACTTGCCATGTTTATTACTTTTTATATATTGTATATAGTGTAAAAAATTATGATCTGGAATAGAGTTCGTTGCCTTTACATATAATTGTATCATTTTAAACTATTATCGAATTTATTTGCAAAACAATTAGATACAAATTTCCAAAAAAATGTGATCACTTTCGTTACAATTAATTGATTGTAATTTAGTCTAATATCTTTACATTTCCTATCACTTGCATCTGTCACTCAATACCTAGTTATAAGTTATTTCAAAATGAACAGCTAGTCACTTTTTATTTGGTCACTTTTATTAATATGCACCCTTTTTATTGATTTAGCTTATGGATGTTATGTTCCGCACATTTTTCACTTATCCTTTTGCATATTCTTTTATTGGAGTCTACTATCTGAATGTCTACATTTACCGAAATGACTGGGTTCAACAATTTTTGTCTTAAGAAATTGTTGTCATATCTTGGTTTGGTCGCTTCTAATATTCTCTTAATCTACTTCTTATTACCATTAATCATCAAGATATCTGTAACATATGTCACTGCTTGATAAGCATTAAACGGACATCCAAATTTAGATGTATATCGTGTAATATTATTTGAAAATAAAACCTATTTAGTTTACTCCTATCTCAATATTGCAAATAAGAGAGAAAGAAACAGTTTTACCTACTAAACTAATCATTATTTCTTTCTCTTGATATAATATTAATGTCGAAATCTAGGCCTTTGATTCAGTCAAATACGTACATACCATATTGCTCTTCCTTAAAACAAGACAATCATTCAAGCAAATAATAAATGACTATCTCTAGTCTTTATTATCTCTCAAGGTCACATACATTTATTATTGTTTGTGTGCATATACCTAATATGCATACATATAGACAACTAACCTAATTTTTAGACACCTAGATAATCACGTGAGACACAGGGTCAGACACTTTTTTTTCGACACTTAACCGGTAGGTAGGTAGGTAGATAGAGATGTATTATGACTCATTTGCAAATCATCATCTTCATCATCATTGTCGTCTTTATTGTTAATGCAATTTTCTTTATTTTATAAAGTTTTCAAAACTCAAGTTATAACTTAATCAAAAATTTGCCTAACATATCTGGTTATTTATGTAGACGACTAATGTTTGCAAGAATATTTTGATTGGAATATTAAAAAAAAAGTGTAATAAAGAATAGATGTGTATATTGCTTGGAATATTTAGTATGTCCATTGAAAGTCATTCGGTTAAAGAATGTTTTGATTGAGATCATGAACCGACTGGTGTTAAATCATCATTGAAAACCTGAAAGTACTGGATGGCCGTTTCGTCCTATTGTGGGACTCCTCGGCAGTGCGCATCCACAATCCCGCTCGCGGGATTCGAACCCAAGGCCTTCAGTCTCGCGCAGAAGGCTTAACCTACTGGACCACTGAGCTGGCATCCAACGGTGTTAATGTCTAACCTCAACGAATCCACGAAATTGCGCGACCAACTTCCATTGTACTGAGGTAGATACCTGTCTCTACCCAACACAGATTAGCTCCACTGGTCACGGCTACTACGAAATGATCAATTTTTTAAATATTATTAATGTTAAATTCCAACTATTAGGATTGAATCTATTCTATTGTATACTATGTAGTAATATGGTTAAAACAAAAACTAAAAAGAATGAGAGCTTTATTAAATGAATCATAAATCTCATTAGATACTTATCTACGTTTGTTTATGGTGGGTTCTGTTTATGTAGACAGTAATTTTCCAAAGAATTCAATTTCAATATATTATTACAACCACGGTTTATGTTGATGATCATGTTTAGGAGAACTGTTAATAAATTAATCGTCAAATCATTCGGGTAAAAAAAAACTTACGTCAAAATGTACATTGCAAGGCTCTTAGAGTTCATAGAAGAAACGCTGAATGTTTATGTTTCTACCTTCGTTACAGTTTTAAAAATGTTTAAATAGATAAATTATATCTTCTAATCATGTATTGAAGAAGAAAACTTTACCTTAAATCTAAATAGTAAGAAAAACTTTCAGATGATTATTCGGTTATTGTGTAAGTACCTCTAATTATCCTTGTAAACATATTGACTTGATTAATAGTTTTTTAAAACGAATAAGTCGAAAAATGAAAATTAACAGTCTCAAGATGCCTTCTTTATACACTGGAACTAATCTTAAGGTAATAGAATTATTTTTTACTAGTCTAGATACTCAACACATATTTTTCGATACAGTTTGAAACCTGCTTCAACAATTTCACATTGAATAACCTGGTTGAATCTGTTGTTTCCATCTAACCATCATATAGTTTGTGTTATTCCCAATAGATGAATATATGAACTGGGTCGCCTTGTAACAAACTTTATTCTAAATAGGAATTCTCATATATACTTCTGTAAATTATGGAGATATTTGGCCAAGAGTTCAAATCCAATTCCATGAACATGCATAAACCGATAGTTTATAACAATGTAGGCCATATATGTGTCATACAACCTGGCTACCCAAAATATTATGTGTATAACCTTCAATTAACTATGTTTGATATCAGGTTTGCTAAACCCTTAATCCATATCTGCCTGTTAAATAGTTTAATGTTTCTGATGAGAAATCTGTTTTCTTAAAATTTCTTACTTAATAAAAAGATGTATTTACAACTCTGAGGAAACGTGGTGATCACTTAAAATTCCAATCGATGTAACAGTCGGTCATGAATCAACGATATAATTTAACACTTATCTATCCTTACCATAATCGATTTCTTGCAGAACCAAATTATCTGTATTAATCATTTATTAAGTAATAATTACTGATTTCATTTTACCTACCTCTTAGTTTCAACAAAATCTAGTGAATTTTAAAATATTCATAGGTATCAATGCCTAAGTTGAACTTGATCGTTTCTAATAAATTGAGCATTGAACAGAAAGATAATAATCATAAAATAATTATGCTATAAAGAACTGAAAATGTTCACGAATGTAGCTTAAATATTTCTTAATTATTTATTGATGAGTACCTGGTGATTGACTGAATCATGAAGACGTCAACATCTGGGAGAAGCATGGGATACAGTGGACAGCTAGATGATCTAGATTTCGCACATGGTCTGGCTCTTCTATCGCACACGCAACAACAAATGCAGGAGAAGACGACCAGTGTAGCAGCAGCCTCAGTAGCAGTATGTCTCAACATAAACAAAGGGAAAAGCAAGATTCTCCAATACAATACAGCATGCATCCATCGTATCACACTTGATGGAGATTTGGAAGATGTAAAAATCTTTATATATCTCGGCAGCATAGGTTATGAACACGGTGGATCTGATGCAGATATGAAGGCGCGGATCGGCAAAGCAAGAGCAGCATATCTACCATTGAAGGACATCTGGAACTCAAAACAACTGTCAACCAACACCAAATTCAGGACTTTTAATACAAACGTCAAGATAGTTCTACTGTATAGGGCGAAAACTTAGAGGACTACGAAAGCCATCATCTAGAAGATAAAATTGTTTATTAACAGCTGTCCACGCAAAATACTCAGGATCCGTTGGCTGGACACTATCAGGAACAACTTACTGTGTGAGAAAACAAACCAGGTCCCAGCGGAGGAAGAAGCGATGGAAGTGGATAGAACACACATTGAGGAAAGCACTGAATTGCGTCACAAGGCAAGCCCTAACTTGGAATACTCAAGCCCAAAGAACACATTAAGCTGAGCAATGTAGACAGACATGGGAAGAATAAACAACAATTGGATAGAACTGTAAAGGAAGGCTCAGAACAGAGTGGGTTGGGATTGCTGATCAGCGGCCTATGCTCCATTAGGGGTAACAGGCGCAAGTAAGTAAGTAACCTGAAAAATAGAAAACTTACATCGGTTTTGTCAGATTGTAAAATTAATCGACAGAATTCAGTTAACACTAAAGATTAGACAAAATACTATTATCATAGGATTATTGTAGTGAACGAAGATTTGGTGTGAAATCACAGAGTGCTTTGGTAAAATAAAACTATATATTGAACGCATCATTTGCACATCTTCCATTAGGTGTCATTTACATTTTTTCATGATTCTCCCAATATTGTTTTTTACTTTAATTTCTCTCTGTTCTCTTCAACTCGATCTAAGTTTTCTTTTGCCAGGCATTTCGCTCCTAATTGGTGTTACATACTACCTATATCTGTCAACATAAGTAGCATATACTACATTAACTATTCAACTTAACTGTTATTATAAGTTTCAAGCTTATTATTTGCATTGTTTTTCTTCTATTCTTCAAGGTGGAATTGTACACACATCATCCTTGTATGCGTCAACTTGTCTGTTATCTTACAAATAAACCAACCAATTTGAAAATAAACACTAAAAACCAATTACCATCACTCTCATCAATACAGTCTTCATCATCCTTACCATTATCTAAAGACGAAGTACCTAATTCTCTTGATTTACATTTAACATCAGTACATTTAATTGATTCACATTATTGTTCAGATGCTGGAAAATTTATCGCATGTGTATTAACTTCTTTATCCGCTATGCTACAATTATCTATACCACATGTAAATATATTAAGTAAAGCGGATTTAATTGAACAATACGGTGAATTAGATTTTAATTTGGATTTTTTCACAGAAGTTTTAGATTTACAATATTTAATTGATTGTTTACATAAAACTACAAATAATAATGATCAGTCATTATTCAATAGTAAATATACACGTTTAAATCAAGCTATCATTGATTTAATACAAGATCGTTCAATTGTTCAATTCTTGTTATTGGATATACAAGATCTATCACATATAGAACGTGTTATGCGTTATGTGGATCGTGCTAATGGTTATGTGTTTGGAACAAATGAACAGCACAATCTTCAAAGTTTATTACATTCAGCTTCTGGTGTTGAACTGGCACCTGATTGGATAGGTATGATTCAAGAGAAATATATGTCTAAAAAGAATGATGATGATGATGATGATGATGATGATAATCATAATACTGACAGTAATGTACAGAATAACGATGAGCCTCATATTGATTTATTCGCTTAAGTTTACTGGATGAAAGTTATGAAAGGATTATCTTGTAAAATTCCTCTCTCTTTTTACTTTTCTATCAGTTCTTAATGTACAGCCATCAATGTAAAGTCCTGTAAATACTTATCAGCGTTTTATCTTCTAATTATTTATCTGTAATTTGAATAGCAGTTAGTCGTTCTGATGTCAAACTAGTGATTATTTTGAGCACAATATTGCACTGATGACATCCAACTTGCAATCCAGAACATTTGTATGTGACTTTTAAGATACACTAAACACAGTTATTCCAATATAAAGTAAATCTTTTTTTATATGATTTATTTACTTTTCCTTCTATATGTGAGTAGGGTTATGTACGTTCGATGGATAAAGCGAAGAAGATTTTACGTCGTATGCTGTATCACATTCTATCACAACATGAAATACTAATTGGAGTAACACTTTCCGCTAGAGGGAGTCGAAAAATAGATAAGATATAGTTGTCTTTCCTTTCTAACTGGACGATTAGAGGACAACAAATATGCAATCGAGTGGCCATATTTGTCTAGTTTTTTTAGTGGTGATCGAGTTTTATAAACCGATTTGCAATGTAGTCACACGACGACTAAATGACACGACACTCGTCGTCACCCATTGATCAATCAATTATAAATATCTCAATCATACAGATGGACAGTAACAATCTGAATAGCTTAGTGATGACGTCTCGGAGCGCAAAACTGAGTAACCTGCGTTCTAATCCCACAGGGAGCATCAGTTCACTTAAGATCACAGGTTTGTTTTGCTGTCAAGTGTCAGTTTCCTACCAACTACTTCCAACTATCTAACAAAATACAAGTATAAACAATAGTTCCGTTATCTCTATAATTCAACCAAAGGTGTCAAAATTTATCAACATATGTTAATCCACACACAGTAAGCCCTAACTGACTACTGTGCAAGATTTTCTCTCTTCAGTTCAAGCATTTAACCTGTAATCTATAGATCTCAAGTTTAAATCTTATTATTGTTACAAAGGTTTAGGCGATCAGCTAGTATCGCTAGCTTCCATAATATTCATCGTTACACGTTAGATGAATGATACTTTTATTTTGGTCGTCTATTTTACAGGTACTAATTACTGATTCTATTCATTGAGTTGTAAATTCCCAACTGAATTACTATTCCACTAGATTCTACACTTCTTTATTCAGACATTTCGTTTGCCAATTTCGGTACATGATAAAAATATTATATATGGCCGAAGTCTATGCAATGTAAATGATCATAAATTTTTTTAGCAGGAATTATTTAACATAGTAAAGAATAAAAATGAGAGAGAGAATTCTCAAGATTTTTCTATTTAATTTACTCAATAAACCATATTTCTTTGCATGAATCTTTGATTAGAAGCGGAGAATTATTCTTAGTAGATTTTGAGCTAAATTATTTCTTGCACACCACTATTACACAGTGTAGCTAAAATCAGTCAGTCAATTATGATCAACACAGAACCTGATACATGTGCCAGTCTGTCCAATTCACCATACCAAATCAGTATAATTAAATTAAATTATCAAGAGAGATGATAGAGTGGTAAAAGTAGTAATATCATCATTGGTAATAGAAAAGTTTATGCATAGACAATATGGTTCGAGATAAAAAGAATGGATTGGCGGAACCTAAAGCATAGTTCTCCAAATTTCCGCTCTATACAGTAGAACTGTCTTGACGTTTGTGATATGATGGAAGGAAAAGTCAATTTTCGATTGATTTACTCATTATGAGTTTTGTTCAAGATGACTTCCGTTTTAATTCAATGTACTGATTACTCAATGTTGTATTTGTTCTCTTTTCTCATATGATATTTTCTTCTGTATAATATACGGTATTCTTGTATTCCATTGACATGAACTATGCTCTGTATGTGATTTGTTATAACTCTAAGCATTTTTCATATATGTGATTTCATCCTAATTATTAATCAAAATGGGTGTAAAATCAATGTATAAATGAGTGTATTTTCTACTAGAGTTGTTGTCGTCGTCGTGTTTTGGGGTTAATAAATGATCACTTATACCAGTCTTTGTATTCTTACTTTCGCGTCGTGGGAATTACAGAGTTCCCTCGTTCCGAGTATAAGTGATAAGCGTTTCCGACATAACAATCAGCGACGACCAGATACAAAAAGTAGCATTAAAAGAGCCAATATAATAAGCATTCAAACGACAAGTTATAACAGTTTGTATTGAAAGTTCTGACTTTGGTGTTAGTTGGCAGTTGTTTTGAGTTCCAGATGTTCTTCAGTTGTAGATATACTGCTCTTGCTTTGCCGATCTGCGCTTTCACATCCGCATCAGATGCATCGTGTTCATCAACTATGCTGCCGAGATATATAAAGAATTTTATATCTTCCAAATCTCCATCAAGTGTGATTCGATGGATGCATGCTGTATTGTATTGGAGAATCTTGCTTTTCCCTTTGTTTATGTTGAGACATACTGCTACTGAGGCTGCTGCTACATTGGTCGTCTTCTCCTGCATTTGTTGTTGCGTGTGCGATAGACGAGCCAGATCATCTGCGAACTTTAGATCATCCAGCTGCATCCTAGCTGTCCACTGTATCCCATGCTTCCCTCCAGATGTTGACGTCCTTTTGATCCAGTCGATCACCAGGAGAAAGGGTGAGAGTAAGCAATTTTGCCTGACACCGGTCTTTACTTCGAACGAGTTTGTTAACTGTCCTCCATGCACGATTTTGCAGTTTAATCCATCATAGGGATTCCTTATGATATTGACTATCTTTTGAGGTACGCCGTAGTGTCGAAGAAGCTTCCGTAGTGTTGTTCTGTCCATGGTATCAAATACTTTTTCGTAGTCAATGAAGTTGATGCAGAGTGATGAATTCCATTCATTTGATTGTTCCACAATGATCCGTAGAGTTACGATTTGATCTGTACACGATCTATCGTTATGGAATCCTGCCTGTTCGTCTCAATGTTGGGCGTCTACGTAGTCGTTCATTCTGTTTAACAATACCCTGTTGAAGTCTTTTCCTGGTATTGAGATAAGAGTAAGTGAACTACAAGAACATCCATAACCCGCGTTTTAAAAAGTGGTAACAGATGTCATGCTAGTTCATCGGTTTAGAGGCAAAGAGGGTTCGTGGATGTACACTGTTGCGAGTTCCATACTAGGGTGAGGCAGATGTCTAGTGCTTTCTGGTTTCTAGTACTGATCTAGCTAAAACTAAGAAAATGTCATATTGTTTAAACTTTGGTATTGATCGAATCCTACCAATCAACTTGTAATGTAACCGCTTGACCAAGCCCTTGACACTATTTTATTGATATTGGACAGCTGTAGGCAAACTGCAAGAAGCACTGGGCACATGTCTCATGATATTTGACACTAGTTAGCTTGAATCACCAAGTGATTAACATTTCTGACTGTGATACTCACTGAAGACAAATGGGATCTCAAAGAGCATAATTTCCCCCATAGATTCCGGATAAACTTTACTGACGAGTTCCAAGAAAGAAAATCCTACGTCCAGGGTCCTTTAGCGACTACCTCCTAAATCCCTGATATCTAACGCTTGAGAATACGAACTTAACTACTTGTTCATATAAGCCACAATTATCTATTTCAAACAGCTTTTTTATACAACTAGGTTGTTAGAAAAGCAAGACTAATATCAATAACAAACATCACTTTCATTCATAAAAGTCATCTAATCTTACATTTTGTTGTCCTTTCAATTTGTTCAAGATGTTTTTGTTTATTTGCGTTTTCTTTATCGTCTCTCATCAAGCGTACAATTGCATAGTGGGATTTATTTTCCATACGTATATGACTCATTATTGTCTGTCCATATTAGATGAATCTACCTGATTTGTTTCATTTCAAAAAGTACAGTTTGTGTGTGTGTATCTTCAAATAAAAATACATAGTAGTTTGGTTAGTTAGTTAGATAGTTGGCCTAGAAAGATCATATTCCCCCCCCCCGTGTTAATTCTACTGAAATTAATATATGGGCTATATATTGAAATAAGACTATTTCAATTTATGAGTGAAAAGTAATGCAGAAACTCTACAGTTCACATCAGATAAAGACTTCGTGAGATTAGGCTAAGGAAAAATCATGTGTTCTGGCCTATGTAAAAAGATTAGACCGTATTTTATTCTAAATGCTTCAAGGGATAGATGGCTAAGTTTGTAGATTATCATATAGCACGTTTTCTGTACATATTTGCTTTACCGGCAAATTGTGTCCTGTATGTTCAAAACAATTAAGCTTCATATTAGGAGATATGAAATTCAGATTGTTTTTTCGAGAACCTACCATCCATCTATTCGTTTATATGATAACCATTTTCGAACTATATCATTGACACGATTGACTGAAATCAATAGTAGAAAATCTAAGATTAAAGAGTAAAGATGTACTTTAATCTCCACTGGAATGTAATGGAAGTAATATCTTTACTATGGATGTGAGTTATCTAATTACCCCATGGGTTTTCATCAATAAGGTTTTAAAAGCATGGAGCTAATACAACTAAAACAGCTCATAAAATGGCTGTGGATCATCGAACTTAAATATTGATTCTTTTGGTTTTCAAATCTCCAAAACCACTACTGCTAGGCTAGTTTTAGTTTCCATATCCCTCAAAAAGAAATATCATTTCATGTAAGGAACCAGGAAAACATGACATCCCACATACTTCTAACAGCCTTAAGATCCTTAGCATTAAGCACTTAAGAGTACACATTCCAATCTGTTTCATTTGGTTCAAACTATCCATGGTAAATAACCTGTCCTCATTCTCTTCACTTAATTAGCTCCATAGATCAAGTGAAATTGAGAAAAATTATTTAGTTTTAAAGTGCAAAAAACCCTATAAACCTAATTGATAATATGAATATAGTAAAATCTAAAGATCATTTGAGTCATGAGTGAACACTACTGAAAAGATTTAGATTAGAAAGCAATAGGTGTTTATTATATCTAATCTACACTAAAAGTTTAATTATTATTGTTAGTTTATCAAAAATGATTTGACAATTGTTGATTTCACTTATTGAAATCATGATTCAATTGAAGTTAGACCACCATGAATGCCGAGGAGTCCCATACTAGGACGAAACGGCCGGCTCACTGGTCTAGTTGGTTAAGCGCTTGGCGCGAGACTGATAGGTCCTGGGTTCAAATTTCGCAGGGTGCGAGATCGTAGATGCACACTGCTGAGGAGTCCCGTACTAGGATGGAACGGTCGTTCAGTGCTTCCAGGTTTTTCATGGTGCTTTAGCTTCAATTGACTCATGATTCCAA